CTTTTATTTGAGTACCCACATGCATTTTTATATATTTTTCATATATACATATATATAATATATATGAAAAATTGATGTGGGTACTCAAATGAAAGGTCTTAATGAGTATAATATCGGGAAGAGCTTATATAAGCTCATCCTGATGTTACACTCATCGAGATCTTTCATTTGAGTACCCACATCAATTTTTTCATATATTCATGTATATTATATATGTATATATGAAAAATATATCAAAATGCATGTGGGTACTTAAATAAAAAGTCTTGATGAGTGTAACATCGAGATGAGCTTATATCTTGAAAAATGTCAATCGTGCACAAGATACAAGGTCATTTGTTAATTATTGACATTTTTAAAGATATAAGCTCGTCCTGATGTTACACTCATCAAGAGCTTTCATTTGAGTACACACATGCATTTTCATATATTTTTCATATATTCATATATATATATAAAATATATGAAAAATTGATGTGGGTACTCAAATGAAAGATCTTGATGAGTGTAACATCGAGATGAGCTTATATCTTTAAAAATGTTAATAGTTCACGAGATACAAGGTCATTTCTTAATTATGTATCTAGAGATAGAGTTTTTAGAGAAATTTTGAACAGTTTTTTAGTTCTATAAATTTATTTCTTCACATTTTCTATAAAATTATTGATAATTATTGATCCTGCCATAGTAAAATTCTTTTTTTAATTCATTTTAAAAGTACTCAAGCAATGTATACTGTGATTACAATCGAAAAATCGGCAAACCAAAGCTCTTTTATTTAAAATTAGTAACTCTCAGCGCATAGTGATTGAAAGTTGCTAGCCATTATTAATGTTAATGAATTTTCGTTGGAAAACTTCCGGCTTACTGTTGAAGCTTTACTCCAAAACAATCATTAAATTAAGCCGTGATTCAATTAATGAGACTCGAGAGCTGGTTAATTATTTTTACCCGAGCATTCGTCTGTACTGAGTACAATACGAGGACGCCAAAGTTGAGTTTAAAAGGGGATTGTTTGCTAAACTTTTTATTAGGTTTGAAGTAAAGTGAAAAAAATAAAAGAAATGTAACAAACAGGTAAATAATAAATGCTGTGTAGTTATGGTAGATGTAGTTGGTTTTTGCTATTTGTTCGGTTTACGAATACAGAGTCGTTTGTTAGCATCATGCCTTGAGTAAATAATGCCGCAGACATGTTCCCCAGACTGCATAATAACTGCTCGAAGTTGGTTGCTGTTTAGCCACGATGATTGGCCGCAACAGCGGAATAGATTGCTGCACCCTTATAGTCCACTAACTCAAACTACTATTGCTTTATGTCACGCCAACCGGTTTTAAAACTTTTTCCGACCACTTAGTTGTTGGGTTTTACTTTTCTGATTATAATTATGATTATGATTATATTATTCTGTATTAACGCGGTTCAGTAGTCTCGAGGCTCGTAAATTATCGTACATTCGTAAGAGTTATGCAGCTATACCGCAATGATCACATCATTACATGTCGTATCGTAGATCGGTAAGGGAGAAACTACCCAGTAAAAAATTTTCCACCATAATTTTTTTTTTATTATCTAAAGTAACGCATTTAGGACTTTCTCAATTAATATGACCGTTCAATTCACTGTCGTTAAATTATTATTTATAAAAAATTAATATATGACTGTATTTTTTTGTATATCTATCTATATATTTTATTATAGTATTTTTTTTCCTCACCTTAGAATTATGGTGCCACTAAACCATAGCAGAGTTTTCTGTTTTTTATTATTTTGCTTTTAATATTTTATTTTAGTTAATTTTATTGTGAAAAATGAGATTGTGAGGCGTGCAATTTTGAATTTTCCAAACTTTCTTTATTTTTTCTGTTACTAGATAATTATTTTAGTGCAAAGATAAAAGGATTTATTTGTATCAAATAAAATATTTGTTAACAATCATTTATTAGAAACCACTTTTTAGTATTAAATAAATATTTCTTAGTATTTAAAATGATTTGTTTGTAATAAATCTGATATCCATTTATTAAATATTAATAAATCCTTTTAAATACTTAAAAAAATTTATTAAGGACTAAAAAGTGATCTCTAATAAATAATTTGTTAAATATTAACGAATATTTTTAACTATAAAAAAATCTGGATCTCATTTCGAGAAAATGTAGCTAACCAATATTTTCAAATTGAATTTTTTTTAATAAAAAAAAAAATTTCTTAAGAGAGGACTTTAAATTTTTTCTACTAATTTTGTATTCTTCAATTTCAAAATTGAATTGAAAAAATTCAATGCTCCGAATATTTAGCGTATTACATACGTGACAAATCATATCTTCCGCATATATAAGTCAAACCATAGAATATGGCTTGTACTAGTATTATTGGTGTTGTAGGATATATTCCATACATTGGAAATATAGTATTATGGATGAGCTGGTGAGCTGAGTACTGACTAGAGATCGTGAACAAGGTTCAATTTACAATCCCGAAGTTCACTGCGCAGATAATGCATGTAGAATGATGATCACGGAATTGAGATATCGAGTTGTTATCATATATACTGTAATATAAGTTGAGTGTGGAGTGTGGAGTAGCAGAGCAGAGTGAGTGGAAATATATAGAGATATTAGTGAATATCTGAATATGGATGCTGTTATTTATGTATTTGTGGATTTAGTATCTATGTATGACTTCAACAGACTTACCGACAACATTGAGGTGAACGAAATGACTCATATGAGGGGTCGTCGAAACCTGACACTCGTATATTCCGCTGTCCCGCAATTGAGGGAACTTTATTTGGAGTGTCCAGTCGTCCGAGTGTACGTTGTGAATAGCACGAAACCGCTGGTCACTCGTGTATGTGTAACGTCCAATCGTCAGGAGATGAATGTCTCTATGTCGGACCCACGACACTTGCAATGCCACCTGAAACAAATATAAACACAATTTTTTTTTAAATTATTACTAAAACTAGAAGATAAAAATAACAAGACCAATCATGTAAGTGACAGAACCACCAAAAAAAACTAATTGAAATGATTTCTTTTGCCAACTAAAAAACACCAGCTTGACCTAAAATCTCGGAATAAAACATCGGCATAAAAAATAATAAAAAAAGCTAAGTAATCTGGGCGACAAAACAAAAAAAAAATAAAGACAGTGAAAAAAAAATAAATAGCTTGTTATATTTTGCGTTTACGTCGACAAGAAAGCTGTTAACAAGAGCCATGAATGAGGATACGTGTCACTGAAAATGCGAGGACGTATCTTGTGTTTTATTTCCCCTCTTATCTGCAAAATTTTTTGCTTTCGCCATTTCTACCGCAAGTTAACGGTTTTTCCCGAGTACTGGGGATTTATGATCTGTAGCTACGTGGACAACGTTATTAACCACTATTATACTGATTTTACTTATAATTTGTCGCATAATACTACTGGTAGTTAACAAATTTGTTCTTTTCAAGCAATAGAAAAATATGTCTAGCTTGGAAACACAATAATTTGAAAAAAAAAGCGCGAAAATTTGAAAAACTGAAAATCGCAATTTTTTTAAAACTCATAAAGAAGAAATTTGAATTTTTTCTACAATCAAATAAGCATGAGTCGTGCGCTTTTAAGTTTTCCAAACTTATTTGAATTTTTGTACAACTGCTGGCATTTTTCGTAAAAATGCTTGACAATGGAAACCAGGAAGAATGAAATATCTTCAATTCACCTTTCCCGTGATAATTGTTCTATTTAACGCCCCACATACAAGAGGTTATATTTGCAGAGTTTCCCTCTTTATTCATATTTTCACTATGCTCAGTTCAGCTCAACTCTGCTGTGTGTCAAGTATGCATTACATTGTTATGTATGTTATATGTCACTGAGGGCTGCGCAGCGCGGATTTCCGTACTTTGAAGTTGTTACACGCATTTCCCATGGATAAAGTTTCTCAGTATATGGAACACAAAGCGTAAGGTGGAAATTGAATTAGTGTTTAAACCTCTCTAGGAAATTTATATATACATATATTAGTATTTTAGCATTTATAAATGTAATGTAAATTTCACGATTTGGGTGATGATTATTTTATTGGATTTTGCGGTGAAAATTTGATAAGTTACAAGAATAATTAAGAAATGACCTTGTATCTTGTGAACTATTGAATTTTTTAAAGATATAAGCTCACTCCGACATTACACTCATCAAGACCTTTCATTTGAATACCCACATGTATTTTTGATATATTTATCATATTTTCATTTATATAATATATATTTTAAAGATATAAGCTCATCCCGATGTTACACTCATCAAGACCTTTTATTAGAGTACCTACATGCATTTTTGATATATCTTTCATATATACATATATATAATACATAATATATATATATAAATATATGGAAAATTGATGTGGGTACTCAAATGAAAGGTCTTGATGAGTGTAACATCGGAATGAGCTTATATCTTTAAAAACTTCAATATTTCACGAGATACAAGGTCATGTTAAATTGCACTGTACTTTCTTAACTATTGACATTTTTGAAGATATCAGCTCATCCCGATGTTACCCTCATCAAGAGCTTTCATTTGAGTACTCACATGCATTTTCATATATTTTTCATATATACATATATATAATATATATAAATATATGAAAAATTGATGTGGGTACTTAAATGAAAGGTCTTGACGAGTATAACATCGGAATGAGTTTATATCTTTAAAAATGTCTATAGTTCACGAGATACAAGGTCATTTATTAATTATGTATCTAAAGACAGAGCATTTTCGAATGAAGCCTCACATAATTAAAGACACACTATCATGACATGTAAAGCACAATAAAGTTGATGTTGGAAGACAGCGCATGACTCGACAAACTCTAAGTACAAATAAATAAACATTAAACATAGACTGAGTATCGCGCAAAGCGAGATGTTACTTTTGTGGTAACAAACTGTGATGGCAGTTTGCTTTAGACGCATATTATAAACTACGGATGCATAAACAAGTAAAGATACAATACGTTGTAATATACAGTTGAGTTAGTCAGACACATACTGAACGGTATCAACTTCATCGCATCGTTTCCCTTAGTTCTTCAGTCTCTCCCTTTCTGTATAGAGATATATATACTAGTAGAACAACTAAGCGAATAGTACAACAGTAATATATATATATATACGTACATCCCATACGCTTATCTCCTACCGGATACTGCTATATACAAACTCCTATCGAACAACGATGAACTTCCTGAGAAGGTTAAAACTTTGGAGAGACAAAAAAAAAATATTGGAATAAACACTCGCCAACACGGTTATTATCTCATAACCCACCAACTCTCATCTGCTGTAAAAACTTTTTCCCGCTGAGAGTCTCTCTCGTTGATAATAATTCAACGTTCGATACCCTCGAGAAGTCTTAATTTAATAAAAAAATATTGTATTTTGTGTAATATAACTGAAACTCGCAAATTTTATTTTATTTCTTTAAGTTTAGTTTTTTTTTTTTTTTCTAATCTAATAGAATTGAAATTGGAATATTGCTGAAGAGCTATGAAAATTCCTGGCAGTATCTAAAATTTTTCTGACAATAGAAAGCTCTCAAAAGTTAAACTTATAAAAGTGGCAAGTTGGCTATTAAAAAATAAATTAGGGGCATTAAACTATTTATTAGGTTGTATTTGTTATTATGTCGGTACAGTGTATATTAGATTTTATTATACAGTATCATTAAAAAAATAAAAGGGGAAGTCATAAGACTGAAAGCATCAAAGCTCAACGTCTCTTGGTTTAAGATCCTACCCTACCGAAAGACAATTTTATTAAACGCTATCAGATGCCGTCAAGCCAAGTGCACCTAACGTTGTGGTCTCCGTGGTTTTCTTTGGTAATTTCGTACCCAACCAGATAAAGTCGTAAAAAATATTCATAACTATCTTTAAGCTTGATAATCTTATAATACTCTCGTTTTCTTAATCCCTTTAAATACTTTAAAAAAAGAATTTAATTAAATGAATAAATTATTTTCTCCTGTGATTTTATTGATTAATTCAGACTTTAATTAAAGAAAATTTATAATCACGATAACTTTTTTTTTTAGATGCCACAAACATTGATTTTGATTTAAATTATGACACTGAAGTTAGCAGACGCCTAAAAATTTTTGATTATTTTTATTAATTAAATTACAACTAAAAAGATATTTTTAAAAAATTGCACTCACCTATAGCTTTTCAAGTTTTTTTACATGTGACAATTTTTTTTTTAATTTATTAATTGAAATTTTTTCTAAAAATTTTGAAATTTCGGCTAACTTCATTTTCATTTTAAATTTTATCAGTTCACGATTATTTATCGAGCTTTCATTAAATTTTTACTTGAATCCATTTTTTTTTAACTGAAATATTTTCTACAAGCTGCAAATGATTGTTACTCCAAATTTCTTGTAGAGAAATAATTTTTTACAAAGTAAACTTTTTAATAAAAACAGAACCAGTGAAAACTCTGAATCCCGGAAAAAATAGACCTAAAAAAATTTTAAACTTATGAAAAATTCACATTATTTCATTAAAATTATTATAAAATAAAAATAATGAAATTTTTTCAGGAAAATTGTGGGTGTGATGTACAATTATTATTATTATAATTTTTATTTTATAATAATTTTAATGGAATAGTATGAATTTTTCATACCTTTAAATTTTTTTCCAGGTCTATTTTTTCCGATTACTTGAGCTTTGATACATTTACAATATAAAAATGCAAAAAGATTGAAAAGCTCAAGTGAAAATCAGTTAACGCTTTTAAATTTAATCGTTTGTAAGAATATCAACGTTCTTTATTGACAAACAAAAATTTTTTGTTATGTTTTCGTTTTACATTATATTAAAATGCATCTATTAACTTCCTTTGCTTATAAACCGGTCCGGTGAATTAATTAAACTACTTTATAACAAAGGACTATTGTCTTCATTTTAATATTGTTCGCTTCATTCAAAAGCGTAGCTTCCTTCAAAAGAAGCAATTAATTATTATTAATTAACTAGTTACAAAAAAAAAATTACTTGAATATTTCTTTAGTTGTAAAATATTGATAAGGTGTTACTCTAAAATTAAAAAAAAAAAAGCCAATTGTTTGATTTTATTTTTAAAATAAAAAAATTACAGAAAAATCTGTTAAATTTCTTTTTTTAGATTTTAAAAAAACTTTTTTTAATTTAGTGCCAAAAATTTATAAAATAATCAAAGCAATAATAATAACCACCTTAATTAATGTATCGATCTGTAAACATGAGAACCCATTGGAATCGAGGATTAGCAGAATATAAATCTTACAGTACAAATCGATCAGTTACTATCGCAATTAGAATCTTCATATGTATAGAGAAATGTTTCCTGTTTCTCATTTGGCTTCCGGCCATTCCGCGAATCCGAAGTATACATCAGGCTTTACCGGTGTACATACAGATGCGAGGCAGGCTTAGATTCATACAGTTACGAACTATGACCCATAGCAGTGCTTTGAGCGGTAATGGGACTCGAATATTCCCAGGAGTTTGCGGTGGTATAGCCGACGATTTAGCATCACTCGCGTGTCTCTTCTCTCATCTATATCTCATTCACTTTGCTCACCCTCTCCTTCTATTACGCTTTACTTCTCGGATCTCCGATCTCGAATCTTCCTCTTACTCATGCTCACTAACGGCTTTTCAATTCCTCACGAGATTTATCCCAATGGATTTCCGCTCCTGGGTAATGTCTACTGTCAACACAATTTAAATGTCTTACAATCACATTTTATCATTGGTTAATTGAGTATTGCTTTATTGGCAATCAACTAATCCAAGTGCTTGAGAGCTACTAATCTATCTCTAGTAATTTAAACAACAATTTTTATACTATACATGTCGCAATTATTTTGATGTAATAGGATTTAGAAAATTAAAAACAAAATTTACATAATGTTAGAAAAATAATTTTTTACTAGTAACCTTGCAGTCACTATGTGAACTATAAATAAATAAAATTTTTTTTTATTAAATAATGAATTTTGTTAAACTGCACTGTATTTTTTTAACTACTGACGTTTTTGAAGATATGAGCTCATCCTGATGTTACACTCATCAAGAGCTTTCATTTGAGTACCCACATACATTTTGATATATTTTTCATATTTACATATATATAAAATATATAAATATATGAAAAATTGATGTGGGTATTCCAATGAAAG